GCCGCCAAAATGGGGGGCCGGGGCCGGGTGTGCCCCCCCCCCCCTAAATCCGCGCCTGCCAGTCACTTAAAAACTAAAAGTTGAACAATTACAGGAAACTGCAGTGGGACCAAAAATTGAACAAATTGATGAAACTGGTAAAATTAGAACCAAAGGTTGACAAATTAGATAAACATTTGCACAATAAACAGTTAAAGTTGGATTTTTTTTCAATAGAACTGGAATAAAAAAAATAAAAAAAATTAGATAGCACATTTTTCAATTTGGAACTAAAAGTTGAAAACTTAAACAAATCTGTAGAAAAAAATGGGACCAAACATTGAACAAATAGGTGGACCTGTGGTAAAATTAGAATCAAAAGTTGAAAAAATAAATGAACATTTGCAAAATTAGAGTTAAAAGATTAAAAAACTTTCGATTAAATGAAATAAAAACATGAACAATTAGATACCACACTTATCAAATTTGAACTTAAAGTTGAAATCTTAGATGAAAAAATTGTGATTTAAAATAAATAGTTGAAAAATAAGATTAAGCTGAAGAGTAACTGGAAAATAAAGATGACAACTTAGATGAAACAGCAATGATATTGGAACTAGAAGATGAAAAACTAATTTAATTCGAGTGAAACTTAAAAAGTTACATGAAATTGTAGTGAAATTGGAACCAAAAGTTAAAATAGTTAGATGGCACACTTGTCAAATGCAACCAAAAATTGAAAAATAAGATTAAGTAGATCAAATTGCAACTAGAAGTCGAAAATTAGATGAAGCCATTTTAGAATTGGAAGAAAAAAATAAAAAAATAATAATAATAAAATTAGATTTTTAGAAAAATTAGCTACTCACTAATATTTGGTATGAAGAATGTCAAGGTCACTCAACAATCGGAGGCTATACCCAAGTCTGTGTCCCAGACACCACCTGCACCCCAGGAGCCTTTGAGGGTGAGTACAGATGTTTCTTTTGTCGAGACTTTAATAGAAGGATACACAATTTGTAGTTTGTGCGGTGGATGAAAAAAGACTTCAATTTATTAAAAGTTTCCTGTCCCTCTGCAGTGTTGTAATGTCCCTTTGACTTCCGTTTGGTTATAACTGTAGCACAGTTGGGCAACAGGGACCTGAGAATTTGTTACAGCCTTTTTTGTGAGTGTTTTTTTTTTTTTTTTTACCGAAAATCGATCTAAACCTCCATCACGTGTAAAATTACTCTTAAACACCCAAGTCCAAGGTTCAAATCCCAGTCTGTCCCCGGTGAATTTTTACACTCCTGACACTCAGTTGTTGATTAATCTTTTGTTTGTTACAGTTTTATTAAAAAGTATTTACCCCTTTTACCCCTATGTAACTTTAGTAGACGCTACCATACATTATCTGGATGAGTCCATTCTGGTCTACAGTGGTGAAAGGGTTAAGGTCAAGGTCAAAATCACTGTTACTAAATATAAACCATGGGGGAAGAAACGGGCAGGCGCAAGGCATGCCCTTGCTGATCTGTCAGTGTTCAGGTATTATTTCTTAACCCTCATGTATAACATGTAACATTTTGTTTTAGGACAGGTGATGTGTTTGTGGTGCACGCGAAAGACAATGAAGGGTCGCTTAATGAACGTTTGAAGCCTATCACTATACACTATACACCCAGAACTGTCCGTTCTCAGTGGAAACAGCGTGTGTTGACAACTTATGACGAGTTTACGACGTTCTAGCGCTCTCATCTAGCCAAGAGTTGCATTAACCCTTTCACCACTGTAGGCCATAATGGACCCATCCAGATCAATGCATGGTAGAGTCTACTAAAGTTACATAGGGGTGAAAGGGTTAAGACTCGACAGAAATAGAAGCAGTGTCGCCAAAGACTGTACTGACAAACCTTAAGGAAATGAGTTTGTTTAATGTGTGTTTTTTTGTATCTCTGTTTCAAAAGAGTTTCACACCAAAAACTCCACTGAAATGTATCTTTCATTTATGGTCATTGGAAACTATTTGTTAAGTACATAAACTAGAACACTGACAGGTCAGTAAGGGCCCCGTCTTGTGGCAATATATCCCCCATAATCATCAAGAAGCAATCTGCCCATATAGCTGAGCTTGACGTTTGATATTTGGACTTCAAAAAGAATCGCAAGGAAGCAAAATATACATTTTACATGTACTATGATGTGAGTCTTGTTTCCTTCCACCTCCATATTTGCTGGGCTAACAAAAATGTAAATACCGGTTCAATACTCATTTGTTAGCTTTAATTTGTTTTATTTCACCTTATATACCTCCTCCATCAAGAGCCATGGTCAAAGTCAGAGATCCACTTTGTCTTTGACCTTTGGACCCAAATGCCCTTGACCATTAACCCAGTGACCGTGATCTTTGGTCAGTTGACATATTCTTTAATTCCGACCAACTTTGCTTCTTAATATCATAACAAAATGTTCATCAGGGAAAATGTAAAAAAATAACCTTGACCTTTGACCCAGTGACCTTGACCTTTGGTCAATTGACTCCTTGTTTAATTCTGAGCTACATTGCTTCAAAGTGTCATAGCAAAATTTTCACCAGTGAAAAGATACGAAATTTAACCTTGACCTTTGACCTAATGACCTTGACTCTTGGTCAATTGAATCCTTGTTTAATTCTGATCAACTTTGCTTCGTCATGTCATAACAAAATGTTCATCAGTGAAAAGGTGCAAAATTTGACCTTGACCTTTGAATATAATGACCTTGACCTTTGACCTCGACTTTTTACTTCAGTGTGTCTCTTTGTTTAATTCAGAACAACTTTGCTCCATAATGTCATAGCGAAAAGTTCACCAGTGAAAAGCTACAAAATTTTATCTTGACCCGTGACCCGATGACCTTGACCTTTGGTCAGTTGACTCCTTGTTTAATTCTGATCAACTTTGCTTCATAATGTCATAACAAAATGTTCATCAGTGAAAAGATTATGTGTGAAATAGCATTTCTACGAACTTATATTTGTATGATCTAGATTATGTGTGAAATAGTATTTCTATGAACTATCATTTGTATGAAGTAGTTTTTGTGTGAAGTAGTATTTCTATGAACTGTTATTTGTATGAACTAGATTATATGTAAAATAGCATTTCTAAAAACTATCATTTATATGAACTAGATTTTGTGAGAAGTAGTATTTCTATGAACTATTATTTGTATGAACTAGATTATGTGTGAAATAGCATTTCTATGAACTTATATTTGTATGAACTAGATTATGTGTGAAATAGCATTCCTATGAACTATTATTTGTATGAACTAGATTATGTGTGAAATAGTATTTCTACGAACTTATATTTGTATGATCTAGATTATGTGTGAAATAGTATTTCTATGAACTATCATTTGTATGAACTAGTTTTTGTGTGAAATAGCATTTCTATGAACTATTCTTTGTATGAATTAGTTTTTGTGTGAAATAACATGTCTATGAACTATTATTTGTATGAACTAGATTATGTGTGAAATAGCATTTCTACGAACTATTATTTGTATGAATTAGTTTTTGTGTGAAATAACATTTCTATGAACTATTCTTTGTATGAATTTGTTTTTGTGTGAAATAGTATATGCAAAGATACAATATATATGATACAATATGTTACACTGAAGAATAATTCCACATATATAAATTTGTTTCTTTTTAGCCCACCATCATCTGATGGTGGGCTATTCAAATCACCTCGCGTCCGTGGTCCGTGGTCCGTGGTCCGTCCGTCGTCCGTCGTCCGTCGTCCGTCGTCCGTCCGTAAACAATTCTTGTTATCGGTATTTCTCAAGAAGTACCAGAGGGATCTTTCTCAAATTTTATATGCAGGTTCCCCTTGGACCTTAGCTGTGCAGGGCAACTT